GGTCTATGGAGATGACGACGCGTGAATTGTCATGCTGGTTAAGTAAGCGGAGCGCAACACCGCATGTTAAACTTTTAAGTTATATAGTAGTCACGAATATAATGTTTTGTATAATGTGTTTGTTGCATACGTAATCAGTGGTGACATAGAATCATAAATAATTGTGGACGAAGCACAAATCGAAGCATAAAACTGTAACGGACTGAAGATGCTCTAGTTATTTTAATTTACGACGCACGTGGTTGTGATAAAGAAACGATAACGCACTGCAGATAATGAATGTAACATTTTTTGTTTCAATCATTATGCGAGAAGGAAGGATTCGAAGTATTTCTGGGCACTAAGCTGGTAGGAGCTCTGAAAACATTTGAGTGTGTATCTTCTGTCGAGGTTAGTGGCGTGTTATAGCGTTTTGGACAACGTTTTCACGCTATGTTGTTCCTGATTCGACGATCGATCGTTGAGAAATGTATTCTCTTCTCTCTTTATTATGATTTAATCTGGCTAGCCTCGATTACATTGTCCTTCAGCCTAATCCGTGGATCGTGATTTTCTGTTCACGAATTTAACATGATAGGATGATTTCATCGTGCTTTCTTTTTCGATCTATATGTAGGGTGATGTCAGTTTTCTTCTACCTAGGTTTGTAGTCTCGCGCGAACACCTCCTGCCATTCTTATGGTCAGATTTTCCATAGGATTATGCAGAGCAAGTTTGTTAACTTTTAGTTACTATATTTCAGTCGCCCGTTTGACGATTCATGACACTGTCTTCACTGCTAAGAACAAATTTCCTTGTGGTCATTTGTCCTTCAACGCGACCACCATTTTAATGTTTGTTTGCTATACCAGAACCACGATGTTTTGCAGGGAAACGGTCAAAATAAAGAACAGAAATTCCGTTACTTATGTGTTGCAAATTATTTGCACAGTGAGAAGCTCGAAGAGCTATACGTACGGAAGGACATCGCTTTTATTGCAATTCAGTGGTTTTCTGGGGCAAGCCCAGTCGAACTGCGTTACACCGTTTATTTTGCTTGTGAACATTTCCGTCACACTGCATTGCCTTTTTAAAAACGAACAAACAGAGCTTTCGTACGTGTTTTTCTGTAATTTTCATGGTGTTCTGTTTTTCGGCTTTTTGAATGCGTTGTATTTCAGCTTAGCTTTCGCCCAACGATCGAAGAATTGAAGGATCGCCAGATCATCAAGTTCAATGACTATGTGGAAGTCACTAACGCAGAATCATATGACCGACGTTCAGACAAGCCATGGGTGCATCTAACACCGCAGGAGAAGGTAATCGATTGTCTGTTTGTTTGAATTAATTTTAGTACCGAAATTAGTTTACTTTTCATCATAGGCTGCCATTCGCAAGGAACTAAATGAGTTCAAAAGCTGCGAAATGGAGGTGCACGAGGCGAGTCGGCAATTTACCCGGTAAATTGATTCGCCGTCGTTGATACGTGTGCATCTTTATCGCAATACTGGTTTTTTTAGCTTCCATCGGCCTTAGCACTTCTATCCTCTTGGCTGTCCGGTCGCCGTGCGATACTGTTAGCAGGCTGTATTTCGTCTTTGCTCCCTGTTTGGCCATTGTAATTCTTCACTGATTACGCGATTGTGGTTGAGGTGCTGATATCAAGTCTTTCGTTACTGTCTAATATATGTGAATACTAGTTATATCAAGTAAAATTCCAGTATTTCATGTGATGCTGTCTTATAGCCTGTTTGGACTGCGTTTTGATTGGTTGTTTCTTCTCGTGAAGTTTCACTGTATCTGCATCAAACGCACGTTAGCATTGAAGCGGCACAGCTTTTATATTTGTGTTAAGTTTCAAAACAGCAACGTGTTCTTGAGTCTGGCCGAATAGGCTAGAAACACTCAGCGTCCAGGCTTCAGATTTTCACCGCAAAATCATCGTCGGCCAGCATTAAGACCACTGTATCAGAGCACATTGATCTTTGACGATGATAATGTTGAATGTTTTCATAATCAGTGGTTCTATAAGATCAAGATCGTTCGTCCATATAGTCTATAATCCGCTTCTGGACCGCCGACAGGATTACAACAGTAAAATTCCCCGCAAGCCCATGTGATTATAATCCTCTGTTGGCAATTTCAACGCAATCACGCGAGAAGTCCTAAAAATGGCGAAGTATACGGACAACCAACCTAGTTCTTCATTGATATGCGACGTAGTGAAAGATGGCGGAAAGGAACATATCTTAGAATGGTATAAATTCAAACTAGCTACGATAAGGCTGCGTTCTAAATCAGTCAACACAATCGAGTCGTAAGTTTAACTTGTGAGGTCTTGCCTACCGGTAATTTACGTTTTCCAGTAGAACCATGGCAACTAATTCATCTTGTGAATTCTCTTCATTCATTTCGATATATTCTCTATGCTAAACGGATATTTGTTGGCTTAGGTTTCGAATAACAGTAAAACTTTTTTGTAACTGAATCCTTTTTTTCTAGTAGGCATAAAAATTTTTTTCTAACGAAATATGTGTTCATGAAATAATTACACAACGGAAAGATCGTCATACGTAACTGCTGGATGAATGAAAAAAGTGTGCGGATGTGGTGCGATAGGCACCAATATGAATGTTCTCTATTATGAGGTGGAACTACTGCTTATTTCTGATGCTTTTATACACGTATAAGTCAAGAACATCTGGAGCATTCTCATAAAGGAACGTGACTTCAGATCCTCCGATGAAATATTATAGCGAATGCTGAGTCATCTAGATTTTAAACAATGGCACTGCTTTACATACTTAGAATGGAACGATTTATTTCAGCTGTATATTTTATCCTAATTTCTGAACGTCACACTAATGCTTCATTATTTTCACAAAATTTTCGATGTAGCTTTTTATATACAAAAATTTTCAACTTTTTGCTTAACTGATGAAAAAGATTATTGAAAATGTATCGAGACAGTAAATTCAATTTATTCTCTTTCTAAAGTCAGTCTATTCTTCTTTCTTTCTGACGTACTTTAACAGAAAAACAGCGTTATTTTGAGAAATCTTTTAAGGCATATACAAAAGTGTAATGAATAATACTTCACGGAAATTTTTTGCATTCATGCAGATGTTCTGTTTTATCCGGAGAAATCAGAGAAGTTTCCCTGTACTATGGATCTCGTACAAAATCGGCTAGGTCTCCACTATTTAAATCCAGCACAGTGGTCTCTAACCATCTTGCCTTTGACGTATTTTTCTCCATTATCGATTTACTCTCACTTCACAGTAGGCGCATTCTTTGAATTCGCTTTAAACCTTTTATCTTATAGTTAAATATTTCTGAAACCCATTCCAATTCTGTCCTCCTTTTCTTCCATGAATCCGCTTAATTGATTCTAGACAGTACGACTTTAATGGAGCTAGATCAGTTGTAAAGGTAAGTAAATAAATGAGATCATACATGCGAGGTCTGCATACGATATGGTCGGCAAAGTTTGAATTTCCATTCGTTAAATGGCTAAATTATCGCCAGAGTGAAAACGGTGTTCTCATCTGAATGCAGATTCTTCTACTGATATGTTGTTTTATAATTTTTGCTTGTTTACACATGAACGTCTCTAGTTTCAATTAACTGCCAACAGTGTGAAGAGACTTTTCTGTGACCATACCATACCTGCATTAAGTTATGAGTTGATTACCTAATAGTGTGAGTAGATTCGAATTTTAATAAGCTATAGCAAATTATGTTTCAAAACGGTATTACACTCGAAACTTTATGGATTTTTGGCCAGATAGGAAGGCAAAGAATGGCAGTGTGTAAAAAATGCTACTAATAAAGAAACGCGCGATTATCAGTACAGTCAGGTTTTATGACTACAGTTATTCTGACTAGTTTACCGAACTGTCGGATATTCTGTCCATATGAGGGATTGCCAATTTCCGGTAAGCATCAGCAGTACTTAGATGTTGGTTGCATGGGTTTATGCAAATCCGTCCTACTGCGACACTGACGTTCGTTTGCGTTCGACCTGTTGACAGGTACAACGGCGTTTATTGTATTTGCTGAACCGTTAAAATGCCGATATAAAATTTTAAGCTTCGGCATAGCCGCACAATTTTTGTTTACGGACTTTT